TTTTACCAAATATATAAAGTAAAATGTCCTAAAATTTTGAACTTCGTCACGCAATCCTAGATACGCGGTGTGGACTGTGCAGTGATCAGTGACTGCTGCAGAACCTATTTATTTGCTGTACGTATAGAGACTGGACTGCAACTAGTACAGCTCATAGACGCTCACTCCCTATTGGCTTAATAAAAATATCCACGAGGTCTCATCTAGCAGACAAAAGCACTTCTGTAGAACCGTCTCAAAAGTGCTCAAAGAAAAAGCAAAAACAGGGAGAATAAAAGCAGAGGAGGTGTAGGGAGCTTTACAGAGTGAAAGATAAAGATTCTAAAGATTGAATCTTTATCTTCTGGGAGGGTTTTATATTCCCATTTCCCCATTGATTTCTGTCAAACATCCATATAAGAATATTGGGTTGGTTAGAGAGAGAGAGATGGGAGGGTACAAAAGTGCTTGTGTGATATTGGTTGCCCTGCTTACTGTGACCTGCACAAATGGGGAAGATCCGTACAGGTTCTACAACTGGAATGTCACCTATGGTGATATTTACCCCCTTGGAGTTAAACAGCAGGTAACTTTATCATTACCATCTCTCTCTCTCTCTCTCCCTCCTTTGTTGTGGGAAATTTTGTTGCTAATAAAATGGGGTTTGAGTGGAAACGCAGGGGATATTGATAAATGGGCAATTTCCAGGGCCGCAGATCGATTCGGTCACCAATGATAACCTCATCATCAACGTTTTCAATAGCTTGGATGAACCTTTTCTCATCTCTTGGTTAGTCATTGTTCTCCTGTTTATTTATTTTCTCATTACTATAATGTTTATCGTTAAATACCAACTATCTATGCCTTCATTTTTCATAACTGAAACGCTTAGAAAAGAGACGTGAGTTAGGCTAGTTGGTCGGTCAGGGTAGGTAGTGCTGCTCTTTTGGAACTAAATTTGAATCTCCCTACTCTATATTAAAGCAGTTTAGAATATCGTATTTTTAAAAGAAATGGAATTAAAAATTTTCACCTTTTTGAATTGGCACGTTTTCGTCACTTGGTTCATATGGCAAAAAGTGAATAACATGGAAAATGATTGGTCATTATGCTTTACATCAATCTCTCAGATCCATCCGCTAAACTCGGATTCTTCAGCGCACATCCAGCTGTTCAATTCAGCAATATGATGTTTTTGCGAATTTTTTTTCTTAAAAGATATACTACTTCCCAATCGAGCTTTTGATGTAACGGTCTCTAGGGTTTTCGATGGAATTTGTCTTCTTTCCTGTAGTTTTCATTAGCAAAATTCCTAGTTCGACTAACCAACAAGTCCTGCAACTCTTGTTTAGGAATGGAGTACAGCAGAGAAGGAACTCCTGGCAGGATGGGGTGTTTGGCACGAATTGCCCCATCCCACCGGGACAGAACTTCACATATGTTCTTCAAGTCAAGGATCAGATTGGCAGTTACTTCTACTTCCCTTCCCTTGGCTTCCACAAGGCTGCAGGAGGTTTCGGTGGTATCAAAATTGACAGCCGCCCGCGTATTCCCGTACCTTTCCCTCCTCCTGCTGGAGATTTCACCATACTCGCTGGAGACTGGTTCAGTAAAAATCACACTGTAAGTATCTGTAACAATTTTTATGCGCGGTTGTTCGCTTACTACATAATGTGGTATAAAAATGTGGTTGTTATTGCGTTACTCATGATTCATAATTGTAATTGAATACATAGTACAAAATGAGGAATGTGATATGTGTTGTTCGTTGATGGGATTGTTTTGAATCCTTACAGGATTTGAAAGCAATCTTAGATGGTGGGAATAATCTTCCCTTCCCCGACGGACTCCTCATCAATGGCCGTGGATCCAATGGGTTTACATTTACAGTTGATCAAGGTAACTAATGAATGCAATCAGCATTTTGATCACCAGTTCTGTCTTCTTTTTTTTGTACTCGCGGCATTTTGATGTTATATTTGCCTGGCAGGCAAGACATACAGGTTGCGGATATCGAATGTGGGGCTTACAACTTCCATCAATTTCAGAATACAGGGGCACAAGATGATGTTGGTTGAGGTGGAAGGCACCCATTCTCTTCAAAACACTTACAGTTCTCTTGATATTCATTTGGGTCAGTCCTATTCTGTATTGGTTACAGCTGATCAACCGCCGCAAGATTACTACATTGTTGTCTCGTCGCGTTTCACGTCACAAGTGCTCAGTTCAACCTCCATTCTCCACTACAGCAACTCTGCAGGAAGTGTTTCTGGTCCTCCCCCCGGTGGCCCAACAACTCAGGTTGACTGGTCTCTTGAACAAGCGCGATCTCTCAGGTAACTAATGAATACAAGCAGCATAAAAGAATTGTTGAATGTTTCTATAACTCATGCCTTTTTGTGTATAATACCAGACGGAATTTGACAGCGAGTGGTCCAAGACCGAACCCACAAGGCTCTTATCATTACGGATTGATCAACACCACCCGCACGATCAGGCTCATGAGCTCTGCTCCAATTATTGATGGCAAACAGAGATATGCTGTGAACAGTGTATCGTACATTCAACCAGACACGCCACTTAAACTTGCTGACTACTTCAAGATCTCAGGGGTTTTCTCCCTTGGAAGCATCCAAGACAACCCCACTGGAGGCGGCGCTTATCTTCAGACTTCTGTCATGAATGCTGATTTCCGAGGCTTTGCTGAACTCGTGTTCGAGAATCCAGAGGATACTGTGCAGTCATGGCACATTGATGGCCATAATTTCTTTGTTGTAGGGTAGGTTTCTCTAACCTCAGAAGTTCGAGCTTTTTTCGAATTTTATACAATGCGAGAAATTCCATAAGAACATATCTTAATCTGTGGTGATTCCGATATGGGCAGGATGGACGGTGGACAGTGGACACCTGCAAGCAGATTGCGCTACAATTTGAGAGATACTATATCTCGCTCCACCGTTCAGGTATCCAGTTTTGTAAAATCCTGTACGCGACTAACAGTTATGCCCTCATGACCGATCTTAATGTGTCTGTTTCTTTCTACGAACAGGTGTATCCCAGCTCATGGACTGCACTCTACGTGCCGTTGGACAACGTGGGAATGTGGAACATAAGATCTGAGAACTGGGCTCGGCAGTACTTAGGCCAGCAATTCTATTTCCGCGTCTACTCGCCTGCGAATTCATGGAGGGATGAATATCCGATCCCAAAGAATGCTCTTCTATGTGGTCGCGCATTGGGGCGTAGAACTCGGCCTCTTTAAGCAAAGCTGCATTTTCGGAACGTGAAACTGTGAGCATTGTTAGGGTCGTAGATGTGAACTAGGAGAGGATATTGTCTGCAAATCAAAGATGTAGCGGCGGGGGGGGGGGGGGGGCGCGGGCTTAACTCGAGCCATTCGTCACCCTTTGTTAGTTTGTGGCTTCTCTGTGTGATCCAAATCGAACTTTCTGGATCTTTTCTTAAAGATAGATTGTTATCCATCTTGTATTCTTTGGTTAACATATTTTAATCAGGAAAGAAAATTATTTTCGATCGTTAATTTCAACTGGATGATAGAAACTAATCGCTAATGTGACGAACACTAGAAATCATAACTTCTAACCTCTTACTTGTAGCTCATAGCTTAGTTGATTAATATCATTAACTTGTGCATCTGGGATCATTTATTCGACTCCTCCTCCCTCCAGTATCGCTTCACTTGCACCAAATAAATAAATAAAATAACGTCCAATCTGTTAGCAGAGGCTTGATCACACCAGTTCTTGATGGAAATTTAATTATAGGGAACTTTAACGAAAAGTTTTCGGTACTGTTCATTTTAACGAAAAATCATCTTTTTACACTAAAAGTCAATTATAGTACTATTCATTTTATCTTTTATTTTGTTATTTTCGTTAAAGCTTAAAGTTTTAAGCAATTTTCATTAGTTTTCTTTTAAATAGATGCCGAATATCAAGTCACTCAGTAGCTAGTTAACCATTCGACACAAAACCAATTAGCAACGGAATTCAACTCAAAACCAATTGGCTACGAATGGATATACTCGCAATGCCACGCACGCTCCAGCCCAACTTGTTCCCGAAAACTTGACAATCCTGCATGAACATTTACAGCCACAGCAATTTTCCCACTTGTTTTTGCAAATTGCAAAGTGGAAGGTGGGTGATTTAATTTGGCAAAGAGTAATATTAATGGTAGAGCGTCGGTAGAGTTGACCCGCTTCAATTTGCATGGCCCTGCAGATGCAAAATTGCAGAGCTCACGTAAAATTGGTTGGCAAGTGTTTGGCCTACTTATTGTATGTCAAACTTTCTTTAAAGCATACGTGTTCATCAAATCGAATTAGAGTTAAATCAAATGTGTGAGAGTCAAACAAATGAATTACAGCTCTTGGATAAGTGAATTAATCCTCCCTCATTCATACATTCATGGGATAGTCATGGAATATAGAGGACAAATGTGTGAAAAAATGCATGTCAATATATCCAATGCAAGATGAACTAAACATCATTTACCTTTCAAATTTCAATATAGAGGAGAAATATAACCGTACTATTATTTAACTTTTATAGGTACCAATGCAGAAAGAAGTAGAAGTGGATGTACATAAAAGTTAAATGGTCAATGCAAACTGAACTGATTTATATATGTACTGTCTCATATCAATTACGCACTATTATTTAACTTTCATACGTAACAATGCGAGAAGAAGCATAAGTGAATGTTCATATAAGTCAAATAGCCAATGCAAACTGAACTGATCTATATATCCAAGTCAGCCCTTGAGTTTTGACTTCCTCCTCCATTTGGCATTTAATGGTTGGCCAAATTTCCCAACTGTGACAACGCGTGGCATGAACATGCAGCCATTAAAGGTTGTTTAGCGTAGCGTACGTACTGTATTTTTGGCTAAGGAGTTCATGCCTATAAAAGGATCGGCTTTTGAAGGAAGAAGATCGCAAGCTCAGCTAGCTATCTGAGATTTAATTAAGCATTTTTCAGAAGAAAAGAGAGAAGCCATGGTTGTCTGTCGAAAATGGCTTTCTTTGAGTCTTGTTGTTCTGTACATTGTCCTCCAATTGAGTGCAATCACCACTCTAGGCGATGGGAAAGTTGACAAAACTAGATTTCGCGGTGATGATGATGATTGTCAATGGGGTCGGAGATGTGGTGGTCGGTTTGATCGAGGAAATCATGGTAGGGGACCTAGGGGCGGTGGCTTTGGAGGCGGAGCTGGAGGAGGAGGAGGCTTTGGTGGGGGTGGAGGTCATGGTGGAGGAGCAGGGGCTGGTGGTGGTATAGGCGGTGGAGTTGGGGGTGGTGCTGGAGGTGGTGGAGGCGTCGGTGGTGGTGGAGGAGGTGATCATGGAGGTGGGTCGGGTCATGGTGGGGGTTTTGGAGCTGGTGGCGGTGTAGGTGGAGGTGTTGGAGGAGGTGGTGGTCTTGGAGGAGGCAGCGGAGGCGGTTTTGGTGAAGGTGGAGGTGGTGGCGGCGGTGTTGGTGGAGGATCAGGCCATGGAGGCGGTTTTGGTGCAGGAGGTGGTGTTGGAGGTGGAGCTGGTGGAGGTGTTGGAGGAGGAGGAGGAGGAGGTGGTGGCGGCGGTGTTGGTGGAGGATCAGGCCATGGAGGCGGTTTTGGTGCAGGAGGTGGTGTCGGAGGTGGAGCTGGTGGAGGTGTTGGCAGTGGAGGAGGTGGTGGAGGAGGAGGAGGAGGAGGTGGTGGTGGCGGTCTTGGTGGAGGTTCAGGCCATGGAGGTGGTTTTGGTGCAGGCGGGGGTGTAGGAGGCGGAGCTGGTGGCGGCCTAGGAGGTGGAGGAGGTGCTGGTGGTGGTCATGGTGGAGGAATTGGAATTGGAATTGGGATTGGCATTGGTGTGGGAGTTGGTGCCGGTAGCGGCCAAGGATCTAGAAGTGGGTCTGGTGGAGGTGGTCGAAATTAAACATAGATTCTGCATGGCTGAGTGCGGTAAAAGCTACATGACACCAGCTACTATCAGTTATCCATTTGTAATTCAGCAAAACAGCTTCAAATGGGAGTAGCAGTCTTTTGTTACAATAAATATTTAGGCACATTGAGTTTAATCGCTTGAATTGGAATGTAATCAATCCACAATTTCCGCTTAAGTTGATTTAATTTGTCTTCTTATCACACAGTAAACATCATTAGCCATCAAATATTCATATTAACATAGTTTGGTTCAAATAAATTTTTTTTTTTAACAAACGATATTATCTGCACTAAGAAAAAAAGGGTGAGCTTAATCTCACAATGGGCTAACAATAATGTGGTTTAAATTCGTCTTTAACGAGAATTAGACATAAGTTATCTCACTTACAAGTGAAGATGAATACCACTAAACCGTAATACCAAGTGACGATTCAAATTATTTTAAGAGAATTGCTAAAGAGACTCTCAAAAGTATAACTCTTTGCTCTTTGTGTTTTTGACACAATAATTTATATTATCGACACATGAATTAACGTTAAATATAAAATAACATGAAATCAATGAAAAATTTTATTTTGAAAGAGTCTCCTTAACATTTCTTTTATTCTAATTCAACATACAAACTATCATCACTTGAACACAATTAATTTCAAGGGAACTTTAACGAAAAGCTTCCAGTACTATTCACTTTACTTTTTATTTTGTATTTATCGTTAAAACTCAAAATTTTCAAACCATTTCTATTAGTTTTTCTTAATTTGAAACTTAATTTCTCCACACGTAACCTATAAGTGGAGAAATTCAGCACATGGGATTAATGATCGCTTAACACCAATAGACCAAAGAATAGTTGGCGCTATAACTTAAGTGACAATATAATGAAAGAAAAATTTATAGTTCAAGTAATTAAGATAGGAATTTCATGCACCTTTAAAACATGTAATGATGTGCAATTGACTTCGACACTTATCAGATTAACTTGTGCCCAATTCATTTAGATTTCCCTTCATATGACTTAGATTTAGAATCTTAATTCACATATCTTTCAATTTCATTTGTAAATAAAAACAATATTTTATCGGAAGTCCCCAATCGGACAAAATGTAACAATAGCCAATAAGTTATGTTCTTCTTGTCTAGCAAGGAGATTAGTTGGTTATTTCGTCACCAATCTACTTTGCCTACATTGAAAAGATTCACATAAACATTTCATCCAATATTTACTTGTTTATATCTTCCAATATTTGTCCAGGCTTGCAGGGTACGATAGATCAAAATAAATGTAAAAACATTTTTTTTTTTTTTTACCAAAAAGAAATTGTTTATTTTACACAAAACTTCCAGGGTAAGGGTACGACTGGATAAAATGAAAAGGGATAAGATGGTAATTAAAAATTCAAATAATTCCAAGAGACGAAGGTGTCTCTCGTGCCTCAGTAAAAACCGCTTCCCCGATGCCACATCCACCGTACACTCCATCAAAAGTCCCACGGGCCCCATAGATCGACGGAGAGTAATCAGCACGCGGACTGTTGCTGCCAGAGGCGTGGCGCACACTTGGGAAGCCCCAGAGGCGCGACGTCGACGTGGATTCCCGCTGTTTCACTCGCCAGTCCCTGTCTATGTAAAGGGACGCACTTTCCCGCCGCTCGCTTCCAGATAGTGCCCTTTTGTCTTCGACTCCGCCTCGTCCTCACTCAGTGCAAATACCTCGAAACTCGCGATCGCAGAACCCTAACTCGCTTTCTCCGTCAATGGAGCTTCGTTCTCGCAAGCGCACCGCCGGCCCTTCTTCCGATGGTAAAATCTTCCCACTCAAATTCAACTGTGTATATGTATGTGTGTGTGTATTTCTGATTGAAGTTCGAAATTGCAATTTACAATTAGGATGTGGCCTGTTTGGTTACCGAGAAAGTTCGAATTGAAGTGTTTTGAGTCTTAAATTGGATCGGGAGGGATGCGAATTTTGTTTGGATTTTTTTATTTTTGTGTGTTATGTATTATTTTGATGTTGGAATTTAACAAGGAGAACGCTTTTGACTTGAATAAAATTATGGATATTTGTTGGATGCGCAGGAAATGAGCAACACGAGGAAAAGGAAGATGCTTATTCACCGTCTGATGAGGATACTTATGTACCGTCTACGCCTTCCGCTTCTGAGTTTGAGAGTGAAGAAGGTAAAACAAAAATTAAATCTTTCTTAACCAGATACGAATAAGAAGCTAAGAGTTTAGAATTTGGTTAAAAATTCGCAATTCATGTCGAGATTTTTAGTTCTGATTTCTGTGACTGGTTGTATGGATTAGCGCACCTTTCTTGATTGGGGAATGTTTTCGATTTAAACAAACAATGTCAGTTTAGCGGAAGGTTGAATTTCGTTATATTGGTGAGTTTGCATGCTTTATTGACATAAATCTGGTGTTTTGATGCATGTAGGTGAAGAGTACCAAAACAGTGTGGAAGTTGTTTTTGACTTGAATGATAAACCTAATGGTAAAATGAAGGAGCCTGCGATAAAAAAGTCGAAGGTGGTGGTGGAGAACAAGACAGAAGCAGGAGGACCAAGCTCGATGGTGCCAGCAGCCAGGTTCACATCAGGTGAAATTGACGATCTTGGGTTGCACGACAAAAAAAAGAAAAAGAATCGTAAATCTGGGGCGCAAAAGCGGCGTTGGCAGTGGAATACCTGGGAAGAGGAGCATGATAAATGGCTTGATGACAACGTAACTGAAGATTTTGATCTGGATACTCAGAAGAATGTGATATGCGATGCTGCTGAGGCACCATCTGATATGATTATGCCTTTGCTAAGGTACCAGAAGGAATGGTTGTCATGGGCCATGAAACAGGAAGAGACTGAAACTAGAGGAGGAATCCTAGCAGATGAGATGGGAATGGGGAAGACTATTCAAGCCATTACTCTTGTTCTCGCTAAACGGGAATTTAATTCGACATTTTATGACACTGGTTCTTCCACAAGCTTTCCTAGAATCAAAACCACCCTTGTAGTTTGCCCTGTAGTTGCTGTGAGTCAATGGGTGACTGAAATAGAGCGGTTTACTTCAAAAGGAAGTACAAAGGTTTTGGTTTATCATGGGGCTAATAGAGAGAAGAGTTCCCAAATTTTCTCAGGGTATGATTTTGTCATTACTACATACTCTATTGTTGAGGCTGACTACAGGAAGAATGTGATGCCTCCCAAACAAAAGTGTCAATATTGTGGAAGGTTGTATTACGAGAAGAAAATGTCAACTCACTTAAAATATTTTTGTGGGCCTAACGCTTTTAGAACTGAGAAGCAGTCTAAGCAACAAAGGAGAAAGCATCCACAACCAGTGTCGCAGAAGACAGTTGAGTCTAAAGGAAAGAATGGAGCTTCCAGGAAGAGATCAGCACTGAATGAGGAAGATGATATGGATTCAGAAGATATTGGACAGCGCTTGAGCCTAGATAAGTCAGTTTTGCATTCTGTGAAGTGGAACCGTATCATTTTGGATGAGGTGCGTTGGCTTAATATAGTTGTAGTTGGGTATTGGGGGGAACTGATGTACATGTTGTTGTTTGATTGTGTTTTCTTGGATTTATTCCCAGACAACCATTTATTTTTCAGGACTCAACTTTTCTTTACTTGTTTCATATATGTTATTTTGGAATAAATGTCTCTAACTTCTTGTTTAAAACTAGGCCCATTACATAAAATCAAGGCGTTGTAATACTGCGAAAGCAGTTCTTGCTTTAGAGTCTTCATACAAATGGGCTCTAAGTGGCACACCACTTCAGAACCGTGTTGGAGAACTTTATTCTTTGGTAAAGTCTACTATATTTTAGAACATATTTTTTAAACTCGTTTTTTTATGGCCATCTAGCTTATATAATTGGAATTGCATTTGCACAGATCCGCTTCTTGCAGTTAGTCCCCTACTCGTATTACTTATGCAAGGATTGTGATTGCAGGACTCTTGATCATAGGTATGGTGTAATACATATTATTTATAAGTTGCATGCCTATATGATACAATACATATTATCAACATATCTCGTATTACTTATGTTGGATACATTTTTCCTTGTTAGGCATATATGACAGGCTTCTGTCAATAGTTTCTGCTGCCTGCTTGTAACTAATTAAATGTTTTCTGGCCCTTGCTCTCGTATTTCTACTTTTTTTTTTCTCAAGTGTTTAATCATTTTTCTAATGTAAATGTGACCTGCAGTTCCGCAGCACAATGCTCGAATTGCCCTCATAATTCAGTTCGACATTTTTGTTGGTGGAATAAAGTGAGTTTCAAGTTTGGTATATTTTTTTTGTTGATTTCCTTACAGAAACAGATGTGCTTACATGTTTGTAATCCGTGTTCCTTGCAAGTATGTGGCGACACCGATACAGATATATGGAAATCATATCCAAGGCAAAAGGGCCATGTATTTGCTAAAACACAAAATTCTAAAGAACATAGTCCTGCGACGAACTAAAAAGGGCAGGGCTGCTGATCTTGCACTTCCTCCTAGAATTGTAAGTATTGTTTCTTTATGGCTGTGTGCAGTTCTGATGTCTAGATTTCTTATGTTCCTTTCTTATTCTGCTACCTATAGGTTTCATTGAGGCGGGACACCTTGGATATCAATGAACAAGATTTTTATGAGTCAATATATAATGATACTCAGTCACAATTTAACGCGTATGTCACCTTTTTCTTTCTTTTCCTTCTTCATTTGGCCACTATTGCTGTTTCGGTACTCATTTTGGACATGAATGTGAAATGCTACTTGCAAATTTTACTACGGTGACTAATTTGTGATCCTGAACACTTTTTATTTTTAACTTGTCTTGTTGCCCCATACAACTTATGTGGACAACGCTTTGCCTCTGTTGGCATGCTAATTGCCATTATTGCTGTTGAATATACTGAGCATTTGGTTTGGTGAATAATATGCTTTCTTTGTTACAGATTTGTCGAAGAGGGAACTGTAATGAACAATTATGCTCACATATTTGACCTTCTCACTCGCTTGCGACAGGTCAGTATACTTATTGAATGTGCTATGTTTTTTCAGTTACGAGATAAGCTGTTCTATAGCCATTTGTCAATACTTTGTTTTATAAGCATACATAAGATGAAAGGCTAAATCTGATCTGTCACAGTTTTGATCTTCAAATTTGTAATTTTTTCTTCTTAACTTTTTTCCCTTTCTGTTGCTTATTTTTTTTTTCATCAGCAAAGTTCTGTTTGGTCCATTAGTACTGTGCACTTATTTTTTCTTTTACTCACTACAGGCTGTTAATCATCCTTACCTTGTGGTGTGTTCTGCATCTGCTGCACTGAGAAATGGAAGCAACATTAATGTCAATGAGAAAATCTGTGGAATTTGTCACGAAGCAGCAGAAGATCTAGTGGTTAGTTGATCTTTTCTTTCAGACAAAATGAATGGCTTTGCCATGCTAAAAATCACCCTTTCTTACTTCGTTTGTGCATTTTATATTTTCACGATTATGTGATATGTCAATCATGTTTACCAATATAAGTTTGTCATGGAAGGCTGGTTCAGTATTTGTTCGCTTGTAGATCTGTCATAATGTGTTTTTGCTGTTAACTTTATGTTCTGGATTTCTGTAGAAAGCTTTCTGAGTTAATTTTTGCAATGATAATTATATTACCTCAATTGCTAGTTAATAACTAAAACCCTGTGTTGTGTCAGCTTTGAAGAGTTGAATGGCTTGATTAAGCGGGACAATAACAAAATGTACTTTTGATCGAAAAGGAAACATGCTTGTTTGTGCTTTATTGTTATTTCGTTATTTGTTGCTAGTGAGCAGTTAAAGTTTGAATAATGACTGCCTTTCATTTGAATAGTGAGTACCTTGCATGCATTTTAAATGCTTCTGTTCTGTTATTGATTTGCTCCTAACTATTTCCAGGTTACTGCTTGTGAGCATGCGTTTTGTAAGGCTTGCTTGCTTGATTTTGCTGCTTCTTTGGGACAAGTCTCATGCCCGACATGCTCTAAACCAGTTACTGTTGATTTCACTACAGCACCAGGTGCTGCTATTCAGACTAAGACTACCATTAAGGGGTTTAGATCTTCAAGCATTTTGAACAGAATTAAGCTTGAAAATTTTCAGACTAGCACAAAAATTGAGGCTTTGGTACGTCACCATTTTCTTATTCGTCAATCATTGATATGTTGTTGATAAGGCCATCGAAATAGGAAACTCTTCATTGATGCAGATATACTTAGAACACGTACACATGTCGTAGCGTGCATGTTATCTTTCTTAACTTCCTCATATGCTTTTCTAACTTCCTCTATGGCTCTAGAGGGAAGAAATCAGATCCATGGTTGAAAAGGATGGCTCTGCAAAAGGAATTGTTTTCAGCCAGTTCACATCGTTCTTGGATATCATTAACTACACCTTGCAAAAGGTAAAAATGAATAATATACAACAGTTTCCTATTTGTGCATCAATAGATTACCGATACTAATTTAAAGAAACTGTTGCAGTCCGGTGTCAATTGTGTTCAGTTGGTGGGAAGCATGACTATGTCTGCAAGGGATAATGCTATAAAGAGATTTACCGAGGATCCAGATTGCCGGATTTTCTTAATGAGCTTGAAAGCTGGAGGTGTTGCTCTTAATCTGACAGTTGCATCGCATGTGAGTAATGTCTTATGTCAGATTTAAACTATGTTTTCGTGTCTAAATTATTGGAACTTGAGTCATACACAAGTGGATCAAGTGATTTGGAGACGTTGCAATTTGGACTAGGTATTCTTGATGGACCCATGGTGGAACCCAGCAGTTGAGAGGCAAGCACAAGATAGAATCCACCGGATAGGGCAGTACAAACCGATCAGGTCCGCATTTTTCTCCCATTTTTTACGAAGCGTTCCAAACTTTACAAACCGAAAAATCCATGTTATTCAAAAGGCAGGACTGTCCCCCTTCTCTAAGATATCTGATATTTTCTTTTCCATTGCAGAATTATGAGATTTGTGATTGAGAACACTATTGAGGACCGGATTCTAAAGCTACAGGAGAAAAAGGAATTAGTGTTCGAGGGGTAAGTTCGATTTGTTAGCTCTGTTCTTTTCTTTATAAATTAATTGGTCATTCATAGGATAGCTATCTAACACCGTCTTCTTTGCCTTGTATAATATAGGACCATCGGTGGTGCTTCAGACGCTCTTGCAAAATTAACAGAAGCCGACTTGAGATTCCTCTTTGTCACCTAAGTCCATTATCCGAAGATGAAGCAGGGAATTTCAAGAGTTTATCTTGCAATTTACTGCAACAGAATTGGAAACTTTTGGTCGAAATGATTTTGGAGTTTCAGTTATTACACATGGGTTAGGATCCATTTTTGGGCAATGCAATAGTAAAATCATTGTGGCTAAGTTCCAACTTTCTCCGTGCAATAGTAACATTTTATGAAAAATTTGTCTTGCCAAATTCTCTCTAAGTTCCCAGTGTTCGTCCTTGTCTGTGATGTCGCTTGTGGAATCTCTCTTCCCGTGCTTCCTTGGTTTTGTGGTGGGGGTCGATTTGTTGGTCCTTGGGGGAAGATGTGGCCTTTTTCATCCTCAATTTTGGGGTTCTTCCTGGTGTGATCTCATCAGGGTGGCAACGGTTAGTGTTGAGTGGATTTCTGGCGACTGCAGCTGCAGCTTCAGCTTCAGTAGCTCTAGCTTAGAGTTTTTTCTGTGGGCTGGGCTCAAAGGTTGGCTTTGCGCTTTGTGCTTAATGTATATTTGGGCTTATGTTATATTTGCGCTTCGTTGATTATGTAATTTATCCTTTATCAAAAAAAAAAAAAAAAAAAAAAAAAATCCATTTCTCCAGAAAAAAATTCCTCTAGGTTTTCTCTAGGGATGACGATCCTAACCATTAAATCTAATAACCGTGGATAGCTGTTTGAATGCAACAGATTTGGGTATGAAAATTTGGTAATATTTTGGATGTGAGGAAAAATCGTGAATATTATTTGAATAATTTGGATATGGTTTCGGATATGGTTATAGGAGTCCGTGATTCATTTCCGTTCTTGAATCCGACCAAATAATGTATAGAATATGTAACATAATTTACATATTGTAATAGTACAATATATATATTTATTTATTATTCACCGAACGTATTTTCTTGAGAACACAAATTACATTGTGTGGGTTGCATTTTTGTGGAAAAGTTCAAAAGTTTTGAATCAAAATCAAAGATAATTCAATGATGCTTATGGAAGATGTCAAAGATCAGCCAACATCACAATATTTCAAATTCAATGCTTTAATTTTGTACTCCACTAGATCCGCATTGAATCATTTTATACTTCAAATATTAAATGACTAAATTAATATCTACTAAATTATAATGCGTCAACTGAATGAATATATTTCTTGTATTAACGAAAGTGGATAAAACCGTTAACCGATGGGAAATCCGCAATGCGGTGAGCATTGTTATGGATAATTTCTATAATTAATTTCCGGTTATAAATATGGTTTTTTTCATGGTTACGAAAATATATAAAACATTCTCATCTCCAATCCAAACAGTTGCCATCCCTAGTTTTCTTTTCGGCTGTATTTTTCCTTTTAACATCAAATAAGTAAATGTGGTTGGTCAAAATACAACTTGGTTTGTAGGCTGGAAGTTAAAAAAGAGCTATAGAAGATATGAAACTGGATTATATTTCTTGAAAGAAATAATAAAAGGCTTTTTACCGGAAAAATAATAATAATAAAAGGCAAACAATCGTCACTAATACACCGTCGAGTTAACTGCGCTTTTTATTAAAATCCCCGGTGAACGAAAAGCCGAAGTTACTGGGCTGAAACGAAAAATATACTTCTGATTCTTTCGATGCGATCAACCTGTCCTGCAGAGTATTCCAACTCTTTTATAAAGCAAAAGCATTGGACAAAACACACTTGCCAACCATATCGGCTTCAGAATGCAGAGATATTGCGTTCTACATATGGATCAAAATCACGGTTCAGGGGCGCCGACTCCTTTACAAATCAAGGAGAAGCCTGCGAGGGTCTTCCACGACATCTTTAATGCGGCGCAAGAAGAAAACAGCCTCTCTTCCATCAATGAGGCGATGATCGTATGTCAATGCAATGTACATCATTGGCCTTGGTACAACGTTCCCCCCAACGACCATGGGACGGTTCACTATTGAGTGCATACCCAAAATTGCTGACTGTAAATGGAAAAACAAATCGACAAATAAACTTGGCTGCGAGAGTCTTGCTACGAAGGTGAGTTTCCAAAAAAGAAAAATGAGTACAAAGCAATACCTGTGGAGGATTGATGATTGGTGTGCTTAGAAGGCTTCCATATACGCCCCCATTTGATATTGTGAACGTCCCTCCAGCCATTTCATCAATTGATATAGAACCATCAGCTGCTTTCTTAGCCAGGGTATTGATTTCCTTCTCTATCTGAGCAAAGTTCATACCACCAGCATTGCGGACAACTGGAACGACAAGGCCCTTGAATAAAAGTATTTCGATTGTGGTTAGTTCGCATGTGATAATGGAATTCATCGTGCCAAACAATGAATAACCAGAAAATAACTCAGAAACAATGCTCATGTCAGTAAGTTGGAGTTCAACGGAATGTAAGTCAGTTGTTAAGAATCAACATAATACAAGCATACCTTTGGTGTCCCAACAGCTATGCTGATATCAATGTAATCTCTGTATATGATATCGTCACCATCAATGACAGCATTGACAATTGGCAACTGCTCAAGTGCGCTAACAGCAGCCTGAAACAAATTCACGTATAACTTAAGAAGGGCCCACATGCACAAAAAGTATAGTACTAACATTTTACAATAATTTAATAGTACTTTGCACTTCCAATTTTCATTTGGAGATAAATGACGGTATTTATGCAAAAACACATACTTTCACAAAGCCGGACATAAATCCCAATTTCACACCATGCTTTTCAACAAAGGTGTCCTTGTAGTCTGAACGGAGCTTCATCAAGTTAGTCCTGCATTATATAATACCAATCTTTAGACGGAAACAAAGAGAGCCACTAAATAACATTGTCATAAAAGAATTGAAGAGTTGGGGTGGCAAATTTGTCCACTTTCAAAGTAAGGACAGAACAAGAGAGAGCCATTGTGGTAGATGACTCTCATCCTCCGCACTCATCTGAACACCTAGACAAGTGTTGTCATTCATACGTAAAACTTAAACTAAAAAACTACAATACTCAACATTTATGGTTAAACCTGAAAGTCTGTCGCAAAGAAGATTTGAAAGGAAAGATAAAGGATATTTTGCAAAGAGACATGGTGAAACCATATTTTGAAACAAGGTATGAGCTTACATATCAATCTCATTAAATGTGGTTAAGAGAGCAAATGTATTCTGAGAATCTTTCAAGCGTATTGCCACCCGCTTCCTTAGTCTTGTCATAGGAACCTACACATGAGAAAACAATTTCTACCTATTAAATTCCTTTCTCATTTAATAAGAAATCGTTTTTCTTAGATAAAAAAAGAATCCTGAACTTACTCGTCTTTCCCTATCCTTGGGAGGAAGGCGGAGTTCTGACGCCGCCTGTTTAGGTGGTGGCGGTGGTGGTGGAGAAGGTGCCTTAGTTTTGGGTTGTGCATCCTTGACAGGGGCAGGTTCTGCTTTGGGGACTTGCTTTTCTGCACTTTCCTTCGTTTTAGTAGGTTCTGGCTTAGCATCAGCCTGCTCTGATGGCGTAACTTGTTCTATACCTTCACCAGATTTAGAAATGATTGCAATCTTTACACCTGGTTCCACAGTCTCGCCTTCCTTAGCCACAAACTACTAACAATCACATGTTCAAGGTAAAAATAAAAAGATCAGTATACTACAACCAGAACGTGTAATTCTAGGTCGTGATTAGTGATGATCGTAGAAGGAATTTATATTGTGATGTTGCTTGAATATTACCTCTTTAATGACACCAGCTTCAGGACTAACTACATCAATTGTCACCTAGTTGTAAACAAAAATTTATATATATGTCAATACAAAGATTTAGTGAAAACGCATCTCAGCACTTAAGAATGGCAAAATTAACAAACAGGAAAAGTTTGTTTAAAAAATTACCTTATCTGTTTCAATTTGGGCAATAGGCTCGTCAACTGCAACTCTGTCACCGGGTTCTGAACATGTAGCGAAAGCATGACCCTCAAAGAATTATACACTACACTACACACACACACACACACACACACACACACACACACTAAGGTACATGAGCTATCATCAGCAGCATGAGTCTCAAAAGAACCCATATTAGGTGAATTAAACACACAGACAAATAAGAAATAAATAACTTATGGATTAAAGTATCACAAGGCATGTTCAGTAACATACTCTTTAAGAATGTTGCCAAAGTGCCATCAGTAATAGATTCACCCATGAAAGGAACAACAGCTTCTACCACATCTCCTGCATAAGTCAACAGTTAAAAAGTTTAATTACTTGCATATATAATATATACAAAGCATGTAAATATGTCAAGACTAATATATTCATTAAATACCACTGTCTGAAGAAAATGATCTATTGCTCAATCGGATAAAAGAATCTGTTTGACATAGGGAAGCAGCTTCCCTGCAACCAAGAACAAATAAAACACCATAAGAGAAAAAGAATCCATTTCTAATATCAAATGAAGTTTTTTGCTCTTCAGTCATTTGGTTTAGGCTTGGGCAAAGCATTCTGATTCTAATCCAAGATTAAGGATGTCAACTATAACACCAAACGATCTCATTGCTAGTGGAAAAAGGCAAGCCTTTTGAAGTATATGATGAGTTAATAATTAAAAATGCACCTAAAAATTCAACACAAAAACGACAGAACCACTTTCTCTCTTGTTATAGAACTGATGAGGAAGTATATCGAAAAACATATGATCAATCCATTTACAGATCTTCCAAGTGAGATTCATCTTCAAGTGTATTAAATGTTCACCTATCGCACTTGAAATTAAAATTTAACATATTCAGTAAGTTCTAATTCCTTAAAGGTGGCCAATGCCCTTGTCTTCCACTTTCCCCAACCCACCCACCAAAAAGATGGGAATTGAAAACCAAAATAATAGTAAAAGTATAAGTTCAACCATTATTCAGAGCACTTTCATCTATGATTCCATGAGTCATGAGCAAATAACCAGGCAGCATGGGTGGAAAGAAAAAGGTTGAACAAACCACAAGCTGAACCATACAGGGAAGGAGAATCTTGGTGACATAATTGTGATGAGAGCGTTTTATATTAATAAGAGAATTGGTTTGAAAGAGAATCAAATTTTGAAAAATCTATTGACCAGGTGGTACTTATAAATAATTAATTTCAGGCAGGCTCACAAGAGCTTATGAAAACCATATCTATGATCGCATATTCCTGTAGATACATTGTGAAGTAGAAGTGTAGAGAACTAAATTTATCACAGAAATAAAAGATCAGAGCTTAACCTGCTTAGCGATGGAGCATGATTGCCTGCATAGTTGGAATTTGAAAAGGTCAATAACACCACCACAGAGACAAAAGGAAAAGAAACACACTGGTAGAAGTAGACATAAAAAAGAGGGTTCAGGTTATATTATCTTAAATTTACCTAAAACAATGTGGTAGGTTGCTCTCTGAACGCACTCATATCCTTTCCCAATAAACAAAGCCTGCTGTGAGCCAAAGCTATTAGATGATATTCCAAAAAACTACAACTGAATACTAAAGTACGATAAGATAGTTGCCATTGCTGCACAACTAAATACCTCATCAAAGACCCTTTCAGTAAGCAAATAAAAAAGAGAAAGTGAAACAAAAGCTCAAATTTTAGCACCTCTTTTGGTACAGCTCGGTAACAGCTTGGGGCGGATACTCCATGCCTAACCTTCCACGCTTGTCCCAGCACCTCAGACTGTCCATTGAAACATACATAAGCAACCACCAAACTATAACACATTGTTTAATTATCACATGAAATATAGAACAAAGAATCCCAAACCTAAAACATGCACATTGGGGCACAAAATATATCAATTGATGCCAAAAACAACAAAAGTTTGATCGAATACCGAAGCTACTTTACGGCGAATAGTCCCCCAAATCATTGCTCTTCAATTCTTCAGAACCAGACCTGAAAGATTCGAAATTTCCAACCAAATCAGCACCAGTAGTAACCAAAAATCCAAACTGCATTCGAGAAAATAAAATAAGAAGCCTGGATTAAGCTCTGAGCTCTTCTGAACATCAAAAGAACAGCAGTAAGATATGAAATTTGGTTTTATCGATGCAGTCCAAATTAGATACAACAGATTATATAAAAAAATAAATTGAAAATTTAAAGATTAAACAAAGTGAGATGAAAATCATCGCCTATACCTAAAATCCAAAATCATGGGAAGAATTTTGACAATATTGATCAAATTATTCGAAGAAAAAGAAATTCAGAAAAATACAAAGTCGAATTACACATGTTTTGGTTTTCGATAGATGCAAAAATTGAGGAGGGGAAGAGTTTACCTGGAAGCTGAGAGCGGAGTAGCGATCCAAATGCTGGAAATACAGAAACGAAAGGAAGAAGTGAGAGGGAGGAAAGGTGGAAACTCCAAGCGGAGGAGAATTGTATGAGCTTCTAGGCTTTTTGCGGCTGCTTTCACGCCGACCATCTTACGTGCGTATCCATCCTTCTATTTTTCCATTATTTTTTTTTTTTTTTTTTTTTTTTTCTTTAGCTTGGATTAAAATAAGGGATCCAGGTCAAAAATTTGACCTAGTTATTGAATTTAGTTTTTTTTTTTTTTTTTGGGAAGTGGGATCCAAAAGGATCATCAACGAGGAACTTTTATTAAAACAAACACATACTTACAAACGAAACAAAGGCCTAATTTATTTCTATAAACAAACAAAGAATGGGCCTAAAAACAAAGAAAACACAGAAAAAGAGCCCAATAACAGTGAAGTTCAAACAAAGCATCCACGGTGGTCGCCACCGCTGATTCGAGAATCTGCCAACCACTCGATCCTCCACCCACTGTAGAGCATCCCCTCCACAAGCGCCACCGGCACACAACCATCAACAAGAGACAATCGGCGAGAGAGAAGTCAACCATCGAAAAGAAGCTTTGGGAAATTCCCGAGCAATACCGCCAAAAACGGCAGAAAATAAGGAGAATGTGGTGGTGCGGGAGACACTCGAGCCAGATACAACACTGAAACTCTACACACGAACTCAACAGAAAACATGGCTGAAACACCAAGCAAGGAAGGGCCATGAAAAAGGATACCCACGGGGGTTGAAGAATTGGGAAAGCCAAATGGGAAAATTGGAAGAACCAGTAGCAGATGGAAGGAGAGAAAAAAGAAAAAAACAAAAACAAAATGCTACCCACCGATCCCAATCGCAGCTAAGACCGGCGGTAGCCAAGGGAAGCACGATCGGGATCACTCACACAAGAAGGTGAGAAGCACCTTCATACATTTCTAACATAAATTCAATTTTTAAATTTATACATGTTTGTTTGAATGTGCTTTTAAAATGACTTAAGGAGGATAATTGTATGAGATTCTAGGCTTTATGTAGTTGCTTTCACGCCGACCATCTTACGTGTGTATCCATCCTTCTATTTTTCCTTTTTTTTCAATTTTATTTTTTTGTCTATTTTACTTAGCTTGGATTAAAATAAGGGATCCAAGTCAAAAATTTGACCTAGTTATTGAATTTAGTTCAGTTTATATACATCTAACATAAATTCAATCTTTAAATTTATACGTGCTCGTTTGAATGTGCTGTTAAAATGATTGAAGGAAGAGAATTGTATGAGCTTCTAGGCTTTTTGTGGTTGTTTTCACGCCGACCATCTTACATGCGTATCCATCCTTCTATTTTTCCTTTTTTTAATTTTATTTTTTTTACCTATTTTCCTTAGCTTGGATTAAAATAAGGGATCCAGGTCAAAAATTTGACCTAGTTATTGAATTTAGTTCGGTTCATATATTTCTAACATAAATTCAATTTTTAAATTTATACGTGCTCATTTGAATGTGCTTTTATAATGACTGAAGGAGGGAAATTGTATGAGCTTCTAGGCTTTTTGCGGTTGCTTTCACGCCGACCATCTTACGTGCATATCTATCCTTCTATTTTTCCTTGTTTTTTTTCCCCCTATTTTCCTTAGCTTGGATTAAAATAAGGGATTGAGGTCAAAAAATTGACCTAGTTATTGAATTTAGTTCAGTTTATATATTTCTAATATAAATTCAACTTTTAAATTTATACGTATTCGTTTGAATGTGCTTTTAAAATGCCAGAAGAAGGAGAATTGTATGAGCTTCTAGGCTTTTTGCGGTTGCTTTCACGCCAACCATCTTACGTGCATATCCATCCTTCTATTTTTCCTTTTTTTATTAATTTTATTTTTTTGCCTATTTTCCTTAGCTTGGATTAAAATAAGGGGCCTAGGTCAAAAATTTGACCTAGTTATTGAATTTAGTTTAGTTTATATATTTCTAACATAAATTCAATTTTTAAATTTATATGTGCTCGTTTAAATGTGCTTTTAAATGACTGACTGAGGAGAATTGTATGAGCTTCTAGGCTTTTTGCAGCTGCTTTCATGTCGACCATCTTACGTGCATATCCATCCTTCTATTTTTCCTTTTTTTAATTTTATTTCTTTGCCTATTTTCCTTAGCTTGGATTAAAATTAGGGATCCAGGTCAAAATTTTGACCTAGTTATTGAATTTAGTTTAGTTTTGTTACAGTTCTATTAGATTAGGAATGTGATTGTGTAAATCCTAGTATATCTAGGAATAGCTCTTATATTCCTATTAGAAGTTGATTACCTATTAAGAGTTGTAATCCTAAAAGGGTAAGGAATTAATCTTCCTTACTACTATAAATAAAGGCACAATGGGATGGAATAGAACACAACTACAATTACATATCTCTCTCTTATCTCTACTATTGCCGCACCTTTCTCTCTTTCTCTCTCTATGACCTCCATAATTGTTCAGTAAATTATGTCTACAACACGTTATCAGCACGCTATTGATGCTGCACTAAAAAAAGTTTGATCTTCAATCAGGGGAGTATTACGTTTTAATCACTCTTTTTGTGATTAATTTATTATTTTGAATTGATCTACATGCTATTGATTCAATTTAGTTTTTCTATGTTGAACGTGATACAACGCATTGAAGATGCAATTCCGACTTTCCGAGAAGAATCTTCTACAAATTCAAAGGTTTTTGTTGTTTTCTGCCAATCAGATAAGCTTAAAATAAAGTAAGATATTTGAAACAACCTTGAAGCATGAAAACATTCCCCTATATATATATATATATTGTATATGTTCATATATTTGTTTCATGCATTACGCAATTATATTGCTATGTGGAATTTGTGAGTCAATGTATATAAAATAAATTAGAAGCAATTAGGGTTTCTCAAACCCTAATAAAATTCGAAAAGAATAAAAAAAGATCGGAATTATGGGATTGTGCGGCAACACTGCCGTGGCACTACCGTGTGGAGACCTCCCCTTGAGACAATATTAGACCTATGCTGAAGCCTTTAGGCTTCGCTGTGGATAACCAGGTTGTGTGCCTAGTCTGTTTTCTAACCACAGGCCTGCAGCCTCGACCCACGCCAGCAGCTGTGCTACTGAGCCTAATCCCTGCCACAACCCACATCTCCCTTAACCAGCTTATAAGGCTGGGCTCCAGTGCCTCAACCCACAAGCCAGCTTTCGTTGGCCTTTGACCAAACCAGCAGCTTAGGCTATTGTTTTCTGTCTCCTACCCAGACTCGTGGCCTGCAGTCCATTCTCAAGGCCGTTAAGGCCTTCCCTACTCACGACACCTAGCCTAAATATTTTTGGGGCTATATTTTGGAGCCGATAATATTATTTTGCTTCTACAATCAACCCTGTATGGCCTGATTTATTGAATTAATTAAAAGTGACATGCATTCCATTAATCTGATAATGAATCCAAAATTATTGACCTGAAGATCATTTTGGACATTGATGATTCAATAATTTATTTTTATACTTTGAACCGTTGACATACTTTCGTGATAACGAAACACTCACACTTGAGTTCCCGAAGAACCTCAAATCCACTACACTTAGTTGTACATTGCATTATGTGTTCTTGCAGGAACCTCTCTTTTATGAACTAAACGTTCATAAACTAAATTGAACTTGTAGCTTCAAATTTAGTGCCTTTGAAACCCGAAGTTTTCATAAAACAATACACCCATGAAAATCCAACGTTTTTCATGAAAACCATGTCTTAGAACTTGAATGTTCTAACTTTGATGCGTATGGATGATTCATTCCCATAAGCACCAATCACAATCTTGTTCCCTCTAATTCAGTGGATTGTCGAACCGTCACAAGTTTGATTTTCCCTGATTTGGATGTTTCTAATAAAAACTACTTTATGTGGGGTACAAGACATGAATCTCCACTTGACTATCAAGTAGCTAAGAAACCATTAAAGCCAACAATGACAAAGAGGAGCTGAATAAGCCTCCGCCATGATCTTTATTCGAAGACTTATGCCCGAAGCATTACCAATAGAGGTGCCTCATGAACGAGGATTCCATGGCTCTTTGGCTCGTTTCTACGGACTGTCTAATCATGAAAGACATTTCCTGAAGCACACCATGATTACGTCCGTGAATGAGTACAATTTTGAAGTTTATAAATCTGATCGAATTTTGACTGGAGAATACTTTTCTCGTCCTTCCATGTTTTTAACTTGCCCCTGAAGCAGTAGTGTAGAAAGCGGAAGTCTACTAAATTCTCGAATCTAATTACTACCCGAAGCGTGATCATTGGCACCTAAGACCCAAAACTTCAAGAATAAGGGATATTATTCCCAAACCTTAACCCTGCATAATCTACTTCCGTCTTGATGAAATAGATCATTAGTTATGCACCTGTTTGTACCCTTACCAATGTTGTTAAGGAGTACTATTCTAATAGTCAATATGTGAGACTAATTTTGCTCCACCGAACACTGTTGGAATAGCTGAATTTTGACATGAATGACCTTGTTGGCCGAATCCACCCTAGTAACTTTGGTTTACTTTGTGAAAATTTTTCCATGTTCTTGGATTCAAGTTTGGTGTATGCTTTACTTATAGATAATGTTATTGATATTGTCCTTGAATATGAGTTAATTGAATCATGTTTCTTGTATACATGTGACCGATTCAATTAAACATGTGATTAGGTAGGAATGTGGGGAAGTTAGTTGTTTGGATGAATGCGATACTACGCACACTAACTTTACACCTAAATCACATCTATAACAACATCTTTAGGTCTATCCAACCTGATTAAGAGCATTGGCATGCTCCTCGTTGTATGAATGGTATTGCATCACCATTTAAGGGACCTTAAATTCTCCCTGTTGTTGAGTTTTTAAGGATATTTGAGAGAACAATGATCATCAATGAAACCACTGAAGAAAATAGAGTGGAATATCTTTGCCCCACCTCAAAAAATGAGCCTGAAGCTTTGATTTGGGGCCAATGGGCTACCTCCCAACTGGGAACACGCCACATATGGCTGGCCTAGAGCCTAGCGATTGAGTAGTTTACTTGTTTTGGCACGACCATTTGGGACACTCAACGCATCTCCTTACCTGAAATAAGGATCTTATATCTACAAGCACACTTTGC